CCAAACATTATTTTATAGAGCTAGGAAAAATAATAAAAGTCATCTAGAAGAACAAAAGGTCCAGAATGTCAAGGGAATTAATGAAAAGAAATGCAAGGGAAGGTGGCCTAGCTGTACCAGATCTTAAATTGTATTATAAAGCAGCTATCATCAAAACTACTTGATACTGGCTGAGAAATACTGGTGGATTAGTGGTATAGGTTAGGTATGCAAGACACAGGAGTCAATAACTATAGTAATCTACTGTTTGACAAATCCAAAGACCCCAGATTCTGGGATAAGAACTGGCTATTTGACAAAAACTACTGGAAAAACTGGAAAATGGTATGGCAGAAACCAGGCATATATGGATCAACATCTTACACTATATACCAAAATAAAATCAAAATAAGTACATGATTTAGATATAAAGGCTGATACTGTAAACAAACTGGGAGAGCAAGGAATAGTTTACCTGTCAGATTTATGGAGAGGAGAAGAATTTATGACCAAGCAAGAGATAGAAAACATTATGAAATGCAAAAAGGATAAATTTGATTACATTCAATAGAAATTTTTTGTGCAAAGCCAATGCAACTAAGATTAGGAGGGAAGCAGAAAACTGGGAAAGAATTTTTACAACCAGTGTCTCTGATAAAGACCTCATTTCTAAACCATATAGAGAACTGAGTCAAATTTATAAGAATACAAGTCATTCCCCAATTGACAAATGGTCAAAGAATATGAACAGGCAGTGTGTTCAGATGAAGAAATTATCCATAGAAGTTATCTATAATCACACAAAAAAATGCTCTAAATCATTATTGATTAGAGAAATGCAAATCAAAACAAGTCTGAGGTACCACATCACACCTATCAGATTAGCTAACATGACAAAACAGGAAAATAATGAATGCTGGAGAAGATGTGGGGAAAATTAAAATGCTAATGCACTGTTGGTGGAGTTGTGAATTGATCCAACCATTCTGGAGAGCAATTTAGAACTATGTCCAAAGGCTACAAATATGTGTATACCCTTTGACTCAGCAATAGCACTTCTAGGTCTGTATCCCAAAGAGATCATCAAAAAGGGAGGACCCACATGTACAAAAATATTCATAGCAGCTCTTTCTGTGGTGGCAAAGAATTGGAAACTGAGGGGATGTCCATCAATTGGGGAATGGCTGAACAAGTTGTGGTATAGGAATGTAATGGAATACTATTGTGCTATAAGAAATGATGAGCAGGCAGACTTCAGAAAAACCTGGAAAGACTTGTATGGTCTGATGCTGATGAAGTGAGCAGAATCAGGAGAACATTGTACACAGTAACAGCCACATTATGTGATGACTAACTTTGATAGACTTAACTCTCCTCAGCAATGCAAGGATCCAAGACAACTCCAAAGGTCTCATGATGGAAAATGCTGTCCACATCCAGAAAAAGAACTATGGAGTCTGAATGGAGATCGAAGCACATTATTTGATATCTCTCTCTTTTCTTTTTGTTTGTTTCTTTGTTGTGGTTTCTCCCATTGGATCTAATTCTTCCATCAGGGAAGGATTCCTGGAAGATGTAGCATCTTTACTGGGGTGTTTTTTTAAATTTTGACTACTTTTTCCCTTCAATTATATTTTCTGGGGATCTGGAGGTTGCTAAATGATTAAAAGAAAAAAAACTGGTCTAGAGCTGATATTCATGCACTTCACCATTTTAGGGCAGTGTTTGAATTTAGAAACTTGAAGCAGAGCTCAGACCTGGAAAGAATTGATGGCCAAGGACACTGTGCACTGCAAATGACAGTCAAAGTCCTTACTTTCATCCCAAGCAGGAACTTTCTCTGATGTGGCTGGGTAAGGGAGAAGGAGAGGAGGAGTACACATCTGAACACTTCTAGTGAATGAGAGCTCACTGTTTTTCAAGATTGCTTATTAACTGATAGAGTGGGAAGAGTGATGGACTCCCAACTCTGCTACTTACTAGCTGTATAACACTGGAGAAATTACTTCAACTCTCTGCATATCCAGTAAAACAAGGGGGTTTTACTAATAGCTAAGTGCTTTGAGCTTTCCAAAATATTTTACATGTTATCTTGTTTCATGGCCTCTGAGGTTCCTTTTATTTCTAAATTAATGATCCTTTGATGTTTGGGTAGCTTCAACCAATTAAACAGTTCTATGACATTATTGAGGCTTCTGGCAAATCTATTAATTTTTTTTTCCTTTTGTAGTCACCACAACTCCACAAATAACTGGAGACAACTTTATAGAGGAAGGAATTTTGTGATGTAGCTTCTTTTGAATCTTAAGTGGGATAGAATCAAATATGGAAATTTAAAAATTTTCTTTCAGTGGTATATCAGTCAGAACAAGATAAAGAAAAATTTGGATTGTTTGTGTAGTGTAGACCAGGCCTAAGGCATTCTAACCTTTCAAGCCTTACCAACAGCAGTCTCTTCCATGATTCCCACCTTGGTAAGCACCAAGCATCCTTTTCCCTTTCTCTCAAATGACATTCTTGGTCTCTTGCCCTAATTTTATCTATTTCTGTACTTTTTAGTGTTTTTTCATAGGAATGGGTGTTTCATCCTGTCTGAAGCTGTTGATATAGTTACATTTTTTGGGGGGGTGATTCTTATTGATATGGTCAATTATGTTTGTAGTTTTCATAATAAAGGTAACATAGCAATAATAATATTTCCTTAAAAATTTTTACCCTGAATTTCTGGCATAAATATCCAACCTGGTGAGTGTATAATCTTTGTGATATGTTGTAGTACTTCCATTGTGAATTCTTATTTTTCATTCCTTATACCAGCAATTTGTTTTTCCTTTTTAAAAAAATTTAATTGAAAGTTTATCTATTTTGTTGATTTAAAAAACAGCTCCTAGTTTTAATTCAAATTTTTTCTTATTTTCAATTTTGTTTAGTCTTTTAATTTTCAAGATTTCTATCTTAGTATTTAATTGTGCATTTTTAATTTGCTAATTTTATTTCTTTTTAGTTTGCATGCCCAATTGGTCGTCTGTTCTTTCTTTTTCATCAGTGAGTGTTTAGAGATTTAAATTTCCCCTAAAAGATTGCTTTGGCTACAGCTCTGAAATTTTGGCATGTTGCCTCATTGTTGTTATTATGTTTGATGAAATTATTGTTTCTATGATGTGTTCACTGACTTACCTATGAGGCTTGGAGGAAGAACAGGACTTCCAGAGGTTGAATTAGGGATATAGTTCTGGCTTAAGTGAACAGATGCTTGTAGGAGATCAAATTTCAATTTTGGGAAACAAAGTTAGTATACATCTATATGGAGGGCAACCTTGACGAAAGTTTCAGAAAAGAACAGGCAGGCTTCCAGAAATGATATTGTCTTTAATGTAATCCATCTTTATGGTAATTAATGGCTAAAAAGGGTGGTGAATACAGTATTCTACTGCTTCTTGACTATCCAAACTGTTTCCATTTGAATTGTCTTAGGAAGATTCTGAAGATCACCTGGCAAGACAAGGTACCCAGCAACTGATGTCCTCTCTGAGGCTGACCTGCCAAGCATTCAAACTCTCCTTCAGAGAGTGCAACTCCCTTGGGCTGGCCACATTGTGTGAATGCCTAACATATAAACATATGAAAGACTATTTTATGTAAAACTAGCACAAGGCAAGTGGAGGGAACTCCTCAAATGAGATAACAAAATGTAACTGAGTGCTCTTTGCTTCAAGATTCAGCTCAAGTGCCAACTTCCTTCAGCATGAGGACTCTCCTGGTCCCTTCAGCAGCTGGTGCTGCCCACTCTACTTTGTATCTATTCTGTATACAGCTATACAAAAGCACGTTGTTATCCCTGTTAGAGTAGAAGTTCTGTGAGGACAAGGCCTGTTTCCTCTTTTGCCTTCACACCCCCAGAGGTAGGCACAGTACCTGGCACATAGCAGGCATTTAGATGCATGCTGACAGACTGGCAGCAGATCACTGCAATTCCTAAACCAGCACAAATCTCTGAAGAAGTTAAGAAACATCCAAAGGTCAGTAGAGAAGTGCATGTTGGGCACAAGGAGGTTACACATTACAAAAAGGAAATCATGCACGTGTTAAGAATGTCATGGAAAAAACATGACACACACAAAAAGATGAGGAGGTCATTGAAGTGAGGGCAAGGGATTACCAATGGATACCTTGTGTCTCCAGTGGGAGCTACACAATGTCAAGAGAATGAAAGAAAGGCCCCCGTCACGGGTGCACACCCCTGCCAGGGGCCAATTTACGGAAGACATGGACCATCACACATTGTTCTTGGTATCACTGGAAGGGCACCCACACTGATGAAATTACATAAGCTTTGGACTATTAGGGTACAAGCAAGGCTTTTGTCTCCTACCTGATTTGTATGAGCCAGGAGTAGTCATCCAGTAGTCATGCAAAGGTTCCTACAGCAGTTGGCTTTTTCTCAAGTGTTTTCCTCATGATGCTTGGAATACCTTTTCTCCACGTGCCTTTGTCTTTTGGAGGACTGGTGTATCTTTGGTTATTGTTGAAAACAAGGAGGTGATTTATTGGGGGAAAAAAGAGGGGAAACAAAAATGTTTGAATCATAATTCAAATACACGGACTATGTTGGCTTAAATGGGATGCCTTTAATATATATTAAAAAAAGAGGCACCAATTAACAATGTTTCAGATCATCCTAATCCATCTCTTGTCTTTCATTACCAAATGAAAATTATTTTCTTCCATATATTTTAAAATACTCTGATAGTTGTTTTTTCATCCCTTTACAATATGAATTATGCTGAATTTTTCAATGAAAAAAATTCCAGAAATGTTCACAAAGTATCTATTATAACTAAGGTAACTATGCTAGAAATAGTGAAAGATTTTTTAAGTATTCTAGATCCATGATCTTATACTTCAACATGTTTAAGTTTATAATACTCCTCTATTAATGCTAATATATCTGTACACACACGCATGCACATGTATGTGTGAGTACATGTGTTGACAGTCTGATCTCTTTTTTTTTGGACCAGCTCTCCCAACTCTAAACCTCAATGTAAAATGGTGCCGAAACCCAGGGGTCCAAATATTAATTGGACTCTGCTGATCTTCTCCTGGCCCTTGGGATAACAGGTAAGCGCCCTTTTCTTAGTTTTCTTCCTCAGATCTTTTCTGCTCCTACTGTCTCCCTGGTTGAGAGACCCCTGGAGGGCCCAGACACTGCCAGCAGCTTTTGAAGCTCCACTGACCTCTGGGCAGTCAGTCGGACTATTGACCCTCGTATAGGAGGATGCCCTTGCTCTGGGTCCAGTCACATTTTTTCCTCTCAAGTGTGTTGGGATGCTAAGACAAGCAAGAGGCTGCTAGGAGACTGTTAGGATGGAAAATCCAGGGAAGGAGATCTTAAAGAAAAGTGCCTAGTGTTCCATTGTAACACAGCCTGACATCAGTGTAATCTAGAAAAATAATTTGTAAAGGGGATTGCTAAACAAGATGAGCTGAGTAAGAATTTGGTCTCCAAAACTTAAAGAAAAGCCACCTTTCTCTGTTTGAGCAGACTTTTATTCTTCTTTACCCTGTGTTGTTCCTTCCCCTCCCCTGTGGGACATTGGGGGAGTTGGGTAAGTGGGTCTTCTCGCCTGGTTTTCTTTGGGGGCCCCTGTGCCCCATTTTAGGGTGTCCATGCCCTGTGGGCCTTTGTGCCTGGTTTTCTTTGGGGGTCCCTGTGCCCCATTTCAGGATCTCCACGCCCTGTGGGCCTTTGTGCCTGGTTTTCTTTGGGAGTCCCTGTACCCTGGTTTCAAGGTCTCATTTTCTAGTACATGCAGCTCGAAATTCCCAGGAGGATGGGAATGGAGAGCTGGAATGCTCAAGGCTTATCTGATAAGTCTCGTAGGTAAAAGAAATGAGGAACTACAGCTCTTCTCCAGCAGAGACTGGAAGGTATGCAAGCCTCCTCTCTCTCCCTATCTCTTTCCTCACCCTGTAGTTGGGGCAGCTCTCCAAGCACCTAGGAAGGCCTGACCTCTCAGGTCTGACCAAATGGGTGAGACAGCCACTGTCTCACACTTAGCCTGATGTCTCAGGCTCTCGGTCCAGTGGTTCAAGGCCAGGGACCTGGGCACACTTTCCGCAGCATAGAGGACAGACTCTCTATCTGGAAGCTTATGTCCAATTCTGTCAATTCTTTCAAATCTCTGGGTGCTAGGGAATTGGGAAAATTGCAATTAGTCCCTTCCCTCCGTACCCCAAGACTCCTGGGAACTCCAACTCGAGGAAGTAAAAAGTTTTTAGGAGCTGGAAACTGTCACCGTGTGTCTTCAAAAAAAAAGTGCAGTTATGGCTAATAATCTTTTCTTTTAAAGTGCCAACAGTTATTGGGCCTTAGAAATTAAAATGTTACCATTAGTGATTGTGAATCCAGATCTTGTTTGCTCATCCAACTAAATTTAAGGTCACCTGATTGGTAATTAACTGGTTCTGTGTCAAGCTTTAATTACATGATAATTGCTTGTGGTATGGTTATATTTCTAAATTTTCTTGTATTGTGCAATTTGGTTAACAATTGTATCACCTGTGTTGTTAGAAAAACAATTTCTCTTATAATCTACATGTTGTTAGGTCAAGAATTGTACTGTCAGATTGTGAGGTTGTTAACTAAGACAAGGGTTTTTGGAGTTATCTAGTCAAAATTTCTTATCAACTTTGTGCAAAATCTTCTGTAGTGGAATTCCTACTGAGTAAATTTTCAAATGCCTGGTAAACTTGGTTATTGTGATAAGGCTAACTTAATTGAGTATGTTCTTGCCTTAGGGAAAAAAAAGCTGAAATTTCCCAAGGTAAACACTTTTTGGTACTTAGGAATTTATGATTATTGAGAATTTTGATTTTATGACACTTTGGGGATTTGTGATACTTAAAAGACATTTTACACCAACTTGGTTTTGATAAATTCCAAAATTTAAGGTTTCCAGCTAATTTACTTCATGAAAGTTTAGTGATTATTCCTTTTAATATCAGGATAAACTGTAAGCTTTTTTAAGAAAGGGAAATACTTTTTACAAAGTAACGTTTTGCAAAATCTTTTTGTGTGATTTTTAGAAGGCGTACTAAATTTCTTTTTGCAAGCTAATTTTCTTTGCAGTAATTTGATACTGATAATAATTATGTCCAAATCTACTGTGAGTTTTCTAAGTTTCGTTCCTAGGTTTGTTGTGTCATTGAATGGGGTGCTTTCAGAGAAACAGAGTCAATGGTTCATGCTTCAGGTACCATAAGAAAGGGGACTGGTTTCTTGAATGTAGGTCTGAAAGGTTCAATACCCCACTCTAAATTTTTACGGGGTGGACATAGAAGTGAAAAAGTTAGGACAGCTAAAACATCTTAGCAGATTCTAGAAGTTTTGAGATTGATCGTTAATGAGTTTTTAAACACCTCTTTACAATCTTGTCACTCCCTTCCCCAACTCCCTCCCCCTGAGTCAAGAGTGTTTCTCAGCGTGGGGATTCCAAACAACCCTGGGTTTTCCTGTTAACTCCTTTCATCCCAGATCAGATTAGGAAGAGAGTGTTTCACTCCCACCTGCAAATTCACCTTCCCTCGCCTGGCTATAGGAAGGAGGGGGAGGGGCAGCAGTATAGCCTAGAAATATCTTCCTTCCAGTACACAGCGGTGGGGACAGAGTGAAAGGGGATGGGTCAAGGTAAAGAATCCAGCCAGTCTGCCCTTGGTAAGCCAGCCCATTCTTCTGTCAATAATTTTTATATGATCTGGAAATGCAATTGTTGTCATCTAAAGTTTATTGTTTTGTGTTACAGCTAAAACAATTTGATTATCACTTATGAGAATTGTATTGTTTTAATGCTAAAACCTAAAGCTGGTAATTGATTACTGTGTGTGTGTGTGTTGAAAAAAAGAGCAGTCCTCAGGGCTAGTCAACAAGCATAGCCTTTAGCAGTTCTAAAGGTAGATGAGGTGGATAAGGCAGCCCCTTCTCTGGGATACCTGTCAATCCTCCTTAATTTTGTAAACTTGCCAAAGAGCTTGTTTGGATTATGGAGTTCCTAAACAAGGAACTTGGCTTGCTGAGAACTTGCTAGTATATAGAAATGATCTCTAGTGATTGGCTTTTGCACCAGTACAAGTTTAAATTTAAGACGTGAGTCCTGGTAAATTTTTGATTACTGAAACTTGCCATCTGAGGTAAAAGCTCTTGGGAGCATAACGAATTGTGTTTTGAGCTGTCTGATGGATCATAAAAATCCATCCATAATCAATAGTCAATAATTCACCATCTGAGAGAAATGCCACAAGCTACTCAGAAGGTGACTGTTACAGGTGGAGTTCTGTATCTGGAAAAGCTGAGAGGACAGTCTTAGCCTCAGCCTAAGATGGGATCTTCCTGGCTCAGTTTCCCCATTGTGTTCTTTGAAAAGGAATGGTTTCCACCTGGCTATTTCTGGGTGTGGCTACAAGGTGGAATTGATCCTACATGGTTGGAAAACTGTGATGTCCTTGCTTTTCCTTTTTATGGCAAATTTCTGTAATCAAAGCACAGTAAAAGATGTGAACACAATGCAAGTATGTAAAATCTTGCTATTTTCAATCTGAATGTGTAGTCATCTAGTATCCCAAACAATTGGGTAAATTAGCATTCCTGCATAGTCACATGAAAGATTAAATCCCTGGAACAGAACATTCTTTCTGAATGGTAGGGGAATAATTAGACAAAGGAAAAAAAGTCTGTGAAACAAAAGTACAAACACAATGTCAAATCATTATTCCACAGACTAATGCTGGGATATATCTGAGCTACTATATTAAAATGTATGTTTAAGATCTGAGCTATTCAGCCTAAGATTATTTTCCTTTCTATTCCTTAAGCAACTTAGGAAATGGGTATTTGGCCTAGATATCTGCCTATTACTAGATATATGTTTGTATGGAATAAGGTCCTTAAATTTCAAAATGATGTAAGAATAATTGGGTATTGGTACAACTGATTGAGGGACCTAGCTGTTATTCTATTAGTTACTGAAACTAAATCAGACACTTCTTCATTTTGGGGAAAAGAATTTCATTGCAATTTTCTTAGAGGGAGGTAACTTATAGAGTATTTTTGCAGTAATGGAAAAGTCAACTTCTTTTGAAGTTTACTATTATTGTGAACATAATACCTGTTTATTCTGTGTGTCCTGTGGTACAAACATGTTTTATTAATTAATTGCTTATGAATCTTCCCAAGTCTTTTATGATAACTGAAGTAAGAGTCAGTCTCTTATAAGCAAATTCATTTGTACAACTACTGAGTTCAAGGTAGGAAGCTTCTACCTGCAGAAGTGTTGTTACTTATATTTACATGTATAGAGTTGGATCCTCAATAGCATCTGATCCTCCTAAAAGAATTGGAATCAGAGTGGAAACTTTTGAGGAAAGAACAAGATCAGATAATCCTGTATGTCACAAGCAACTAATAGAATCATGGGGGTCTTGGTTTCTTTCTTTGTTTTCCTCTTTTCTGATGTCACTTTTAATGCTTCTTCTATTTGGGCCCTGCATATTGAACCTGCTTGTCAGATTTGTGTCTGCTAGACTATTGGCTGTCCACCTGCAGATGGTCATGCCACAAGAATGCCTGTTCCACACTCTACTCATCCCCTGGACGCTGCTTCAGTCTCATTTTACTCCTCTCCCCACTCCCCACTCAGGCAGGCACAGCTTCTTTGTCCCTCTCCCAAAAACATTTGGGTGAATGGTAAGGCAGACAGGAGTGCTTGAGGCAGATGGAGCAAGGAGGATGCATGATGTGAGATACGGGATAAGATGCAGGGTGTGAGCAGCCAGAGTAGTGATCAAAGAAGACTATGTATTGAAGCCTCTCACCATGGGGACTTGCCTGTGTGCTTTCTAACTACGCTTGTTCTGGGCCCCACCTTGGGCCACTTCTCCTGTTACCTATTCCTGATTCCACTTTCTGCCTAGGGTTAGGCCTGCTTTCCTGAGACTGGGAATCCAATGCTTTAATTCAAATAGGGAACTCTTTGGGGCAGGGCATTGTACATGATTTCTGGGTGTGTCAACTAGCTTATGTCCCATAGGTCCCCCCTTATTCCCTGAAAACCCTGCATGGAATTTATCCATTGAGAGCACTTGAAGGATTGTACAGGCAGCCTCTTGGATGCCAGACATCCACTCCAGCCTGATATCTCCCACTACCTCCTTCTGGGGTTCATGGTTTCTTCCCTTCTTTCCCTCATTCTAACCCCATTACTTGCTCTTATATTTGGTCTGTGTTTGTTTAACCTCCTGGTCTGATTTGTGTCTTCTCTCCTGCAGAAATTCCATTTTCAACTCTTAGGATACCAGCCCCTACCCTTAGTGTCCCCAAGGGGTTTACCTCTCTCCGTACTGGACTCAGCTGGCACTGCATCCTACACCTTCATACTGAACTCCCCTCCTCAACCTATTCTCAGCCCTTGAAATGGACTCTTCGCCCCTGTTCAGCAGGAAGCAGCTACTGAAGACAATGACCTTTGCCCCTTTTTCCTAATGTTTGAGTGGGGATATAATGTGGGGGCAAAGAGTGCCCTAGAATTGAAAATAATATTAACGGTTATGTTCCCAGACCCCTGAGGGGGTTTGAGGCTCATTCTGTAGCCCATCTTATACTTTGAGATCCTGGAACTTGAGAACTTCTCAAGTCCTTTTCCCCTTATCTTGAAATGCCATACAACTTGTACCAAAAGATTTGCCTTTGTCCCCCCTACCCTGTGTTCCTTATCCTGTCATTCATCTTCCTCATCCTGTGTCTCAACAATTTTACCTTATCTTGTCAACCATCTTCCTTATCTTGTTTGTTCTTATCCTGTCCCTAATCTCCAGCTCCTGTATGAATCTCTAAAAATACATCTTCTTCCTACAGGCTCTATAGTTTTCTGTCTGTATAAGCCTGGGTCTTTTCCTATATGGGTGCCATTTGTTTAGCTCCTTGCTAACCTCAGGCCCATGAAGCTTGGACAAAATAAAGCTCCAAAAGGCTACAGAGAAGGTCTAAGTGAATTCTTTCACACCTGAACCAGCTCTCCCAAGTCTGAAACTCAACAGTATTTTCCTGCTAATCGGTCTTAGTGAGAGTTTGTTAAAGGAATATTTAAATTATTAGTGCTGGTAGTAATAAATCTTGTTAAGAAAATGTGGAGCCTGAAATGACTCAATTCCAGAGCAGGCCTCTTTAAGGACTAGGGTAGCCCATCTAATTTATGTCTGTGTGTATGGCATGCTTATTTCCTCATACTGTCCAGGTTTAATTTCTAGATAAAACAATAGATGCTAGAACTGAATTTTGTACTTTCAATTTTAAGGAATACATTTTGCTGGCTTTTTAATTTTTGTAATATATACTATCAAGCTACATCTTTTGAGCCTAGTTTGAAGGGGAAAGTACCCCCAGATCTATGGCCCTTACAAGCCAGATAAACCCAACCACTGAGGGTTAGCAAAAACAATATTTAGGAAAGAATTTTAAAAGTTAAAATGTTTTTAGAACTTAATATTCTAAGTAATCTTAATCATGGAATGTGTTAAATTTCTCCAATAAAAGCATGTACCTTTACTGAGGAGTTTTCTTTCTGACTCTTCTTTGGGAGATTGTGGACTCTGAAATTTTGGTTCTAATTTATCACCAAGCAAAGTCTGCCTGATACTGAGACTCTGGCGAGGTGTTTTTGGCAACTGATCTGCTTTGCTGAGGGAAGTAAATCAACAGTTAACATTTACTGGCTTTCTCTCCATATCTTCTTCCCTCCAAATCAAACAAAAAACCCCAATACAAACCCCCTAACACATGATGGGCATCTTACCTCATTAGACTATTATATTTCTTTATCCTCCATCTAATTAGGTCTCTGCTAGTGACTCCAGTATCCTAGAAAACAAATGGAAGCCAGGACTGAAACTTTATGCAACTGCCCAATTTTTAAAACTTATTAGTGAGGCTTTACATTTTCTCTCTGGAACCCCTTGGAACTTGAAATAAATGGACAGAACTGCAAAAGGCAGGTCAGAGAGGCCTGAGATTATAGAATCACTTTGAAATAAAAGGAATTAGGGAAATTTTGGCCTCAAATGCAGAAAGTTAAGCCTATTTTCATATGGAGAATTTCCATAAGTATCACTAGCATACACATTTCTCATAGAAACCCTATTCACATATTATAGGATACCACGGTTTTTGAAAACACAGTAGCATGGAAAGCAGCATAGTTAGAAGGTGTAGATGAATCAGATTCTGGGATTTATTCCCTGCATGACACTGGACAAAGAAAAGGAGCTTCTCTGAACTTGAGTAGGAGAAAGGGACCCTAGAGGAGCTCTTACCCTCCCCCTTCCTGCCTTCTACAACAGTCACTAAAGTGAGAGCCTGGCACCTGAGGCATCAGACACTTAGGCCTCAAGCAATAAGTTTCTCTCATTGATGGTATTTGAACATCAGCTATGAACATTTTAACCCAGCAGATAAAAGTGTGGAAAGGCATAGAATTAGCCTGGTGTGAGTTTTCCAAATAGTCTCAGTCTGCTGGCAGAAATCTATTCATGGGGTGATAATCACCATAATACAATGGCGCATTTTCACAGTGCCTTCTGTACATGATCTTGAGATGTCTTAACCTAATTGAAGGGTTATCATGTGAAAAGGGTGTGTGTGAGAGGTGCAGAACATGGACTGACAGGTATGTTCTACAGAGGGAGAAGCCTCCCAAATATGAGACGTATGCAAAAAAGAAATGTGCAGCCTGGGAAGGAAATGGGTTCCCTGTCATTGGAAATGTTGTCAGTGATGTTATGGTGGGACTTTCTATCCTCAGATATGAAATAGATGAGGGTATCTCTGAGATCCTCCTCAACTCTGAGATTCTGTAAACTCTCCCTGCTCCTCTTCAAAATCCTGTGAAATAATCATGTTCCCATAAGAGAGAAAACAAGACACAGAGAGGCTAAGGTACAGCGACCAAGCCAGCTTCCGATGAATAGTCCAGGAAAGCACAGCAAATCCATCCCCTACTTTCTCTGTTCCATAATGGTGAATTTCTGGGAAGTAAAATATCAACAGGGATACAGTTGCTTTCTCCGCACCATCAAGAGCTTTATAGCAAATGGCATGTCAAATAAAGGCTCTCCAGCCTGGAATCTTGGGACTCTCTCAGAAAAAAAGTACCTCTTCACTGAGGTTGCTGCTTTCCTGCATGGTCTTGATCTAGGCTAACATGTCATCTCTGTCTTCAACTTGAAATAAGTATTCACAATCTGAGGTGGTAAGCCTGAATACATTTTTCCTCTTGGTTTCACTGTAGGAAATATCTATCAAGCAAGCATTTACACTGATAGGTTGTTCTTCCTCTGATGGAGTTGTCTGTTCTCTTTTATCTTTGTGCAAGTGGAGTGAATGGCCCCAAAGGATGACATACATCTGTTTCCATGGCCAAATCCTCCCACCAACTCACCGGAAAACATAACCCGTGCATAGAGGACAATGTCTTTTCCCTAATGATTAGACAGAGCAGCCACAGTGCCTTGGACTTCCATTGTAAGATGGGGGGGGGTGCTGGAGAGGTGGGAGGGGAGAAAGCCTGTACATTTGCATAGCCTCCCTGTAAGAACTGAAAATGGTTGTCTTGAGGCAATGGCACAGGGGAGGTGCTGGTGTTTGCCACTGCCTGAAAAGATAGATCCGAAAATGAAGTTTCCTAGGCCAACAGATGGCAGCAAAAATAAAGTAAATTAACTGACAGAAAAATCAATGATGCCATGTGTTTCGGGGGTGAGGAGGGGAGAGAGAGAGACAGAGAAAGACAGAGAGAGGAGACAGAGGCACAGAAATATGACAGCAACCAAAGGACATGCAGCCTGACTGCAGACACATGCGGCGGAAGAACGTGCAGACGGCCCCCCAGCTTCAGTTGCTTTCTGAGGGGAGCTTAGGGGCCATTTGAATCTTGTGGTTCTTTCTTTATTCATGGGCTCATGTAAGTCCTTTTCATCCTCTGCATCATCTGTGGGGCTAAGTCCAGGCCATCCTACCCAGAATGGTAGGCATTGGTATGTGAAACGGAGCTGAGCCCCTGCTACAGACATTTGGGTAATCTTTATGTAAGTAAAATATCAGCTATAATTGTTGATTTTCCACAGTCATTCCAGATAGGGGCAAAGAAAAACTTACACTTTTGGGGTGGTCACCTCCAGGATCAAATCTGGTTTGTGTTCAGTGCGGAGTCTTGGGGTGGAGATCATAGCAATGGGTTATATAGATAATGTAGCATTAGTGGTATGGTAACATATGAAATCATGGAATACAGCACATATAACAACACGTGGCAGGTGTCAATGCAATGTAGCATGTGATCTATGCAATTTCTATAACGGGTGTAATGTAATATGTATAATATACACATGTAGACTTGTGTGTCTGGTATTGGGGCAATGCATTTAAAACTGCAAAAATAAGGGTTCTTAACATCATAAAAGCTATTTGGGGAGAGAATAGGAAAGTGCTTTTCTCTGGATTTCCGAACTGCAAAGGAAAGCTGCCCAGCCTTGGTGAGTGGGTGTGAGAAAGGTTTTTTGAGTTAAGCCCTGTGTTCTTAAGTTCACTACCCTTGGATGGTTGTCCTGGGTGCCTTTGTGCCAGGTTTAGATGGTTTAAGCATATTGATAAGGTATGAGGAAGTTTGGGGAGTTTTTTGCTCCTTTAAGGAGGTAGGAAAGAAAAAGGGAGACAATTATTTAGAGCAGGAATTATCACCACCTGTCTTTTTAAGGGAATACATAAATGTGTGGAGAGTATCTCTTTTTAAAGGCCCAAGAATGTTAGATTTAAAACAAAAATGTTTCTAAATGTTTGTCGTTAGCAATTATAAATTTGTATCTGATTTAAGTTTACTGTTCTATAAGGCAAAAAAATTAATAATAATGATATGAAAAAATGATACAATGATTTTAAAATGCTTAATACAATGGCATACATTAGATGTGGTATTATTATTATGTAACATAATTGTTAAAAGTACCAAGAGTAATAAGATCGATAATTTCTATATGTGGTAATCCGGAAATGCAATTGATGTTATCTGAAGTTTATTGTTTGTGTTACAAAAGTTATTACAATGTTTCTAAATTGTATTGTATTTCTAAAATTCTTAGGTTGTAAAATTTGAGGGACCATTGTGAGGTAGAAATGGTGTTAAAGTAACTCTTGACCTGGAATAGGTCTTTTAGTGATAAAAATGAGATAATTTGAAACTATTAAATAGCTAGTGAGGTATATTTGGCTATAAGCAAGTAATAATGATATTGATATTTACTATGATGGCAGATTTTCATTTAAAATCTTGACTATTATAAAAATATATGGTGGTTTAAGGTTTTAGTTTCAACATAATAATGAGATGAATGATTCTCAGTGCAAAGTGATTTGGAAGTACATTCATCTAATGGGTTGTTTCAAAATTTATTACTATGGTAGAAATAATTTTTTAATGTATGGCCTCTGGTACAAACATTTTATTGTGAAAAACTTAATGATATGTACTGATTTGGAATTAGTGAAGTATTCTCTCATATATCAGGGCCTCAGTTAGAAATTTAGGGAAAAAAAATTTTTTTTTCAACCCAGGCCTTGTTTAGGCTAAAGACTGGGTTTATTGGGGGATGGGCCATATGGGCCAGGCTCTTAAGGCAGGGACTAGTGTTCATGGGGAAGTCTAGGCCTCCATTGGCCAAGTAGTGTCATTGAAGTTAAATCTGGATGGAATCAGGAATCTGGATGTGGCCTAAAGTTATCAGACCAGTAAAGGACAATGATGGGCTAGCATAGGTAATAGGGAAAAGCCAGTCTACTGGGGTGGAAGTGGCCCCAGGAGATTGTTAGACTTGGTGTAGGGGTCCAGAAAGAAAGAAAATTGTTTTTTTTTTTGGTGGGGGGTCTGTTTCAAGTTTTTAACATACTGCTTACATATTTATGAATTTTCTTATATGATTTGGCAGGCAATTGTATTAGTTATGTTGTTGGAAGGCAATTTATTTTGTAATCTGGAATGTTATTAGATTAAGAATTGTGCCTTCAGAGAAAAGAAAAAAAATGGGTCGGGCTGTTGGGGCATTCTATATGATCCCATTTGTAACATTTCCTTTTAAGTACTGTAATTTAAGAAATGAGAGCTTCCAAGTTTTGTCTATATTTAAAAGAAAGTTTTAGCTGGGATTATTTGGCTCCCACTTAATGAAGTTTAGAATTGTTAACTAAGCTACTTGGAGTTATTGTTTAAGTGGAGTACTGGCAAAAATATTTTTGGTGCGTGTGAAAAGAAACTTGGTAATTATGCAAAAAAAAGATTCTGTAAAATCTCATAATTCTTATCAACCTTGTGCAGGAGTTTTGTATTGTGAAACTCTCACTCAATAAATGGCTCATTACAGACACCT